AAATATTAAAAATAATATATTACAGAACTGGCATCTATTAATTATAAATATAAATTAAATAATATAAATTAAAAATATTATAATTTTATTATTAAAGCCTGTAACAGTATAATTAATCTTAAAAAAAATAATATTAATTTAAAATTAATAAATTATTTAAATAGTAAAAATAATATTTATATAAATATAAATATTAGCTTTAATATTAGTAAGAGTATATATAAATACTACTAGTCTATTATTTAATATTAGAATTTTAATAATAAAATTTTTATTCTCTTGGCCTAGCAGATCTCGTAAATTTAATAAATTAATATTAATATTTATTTTATTTAAAAAAAAAACTTCTTTTAAATATTATTTTTTATTAAATTATTATTTTCTATTATCTCTAACAGTTTAACTTAATCTGCTTTTTTTTTTAAATAATTTCAGATTAAATATCCCTGTTTCTAGTAGATAAAGTAATATTTTTTAATTATTATATAAATATATTTTTCCGGCTTTATATTAATAATATAACTAGTATTATAAAAGATCTTAACCAGGATAAAAAAGATTATAATTATAATAATAATAATAATTAATATAAACAGTTAACAACTCAGAATACTTATCTTATTATAATATTTTATTATATTATTAATTAAGTCTGATAATTAAGCATATTCTTTAATATACTATTTAAATATTATATTATTATTATTAAAATAAAATATTATCAGCTCTTATAGCTTAAACAAAAAATACTAATAGAAATTTTTTTTTTAATAAATTTTAATAATATTTATCTCTATAGTAAGATAGCAGAATATAAATATAAAATTATAAAATTTATTATTAATTATTATTTTAAATTTTTGATACTGTCAGTATATATTATAAAATTTATTTAAATTAATATAAATAATTTTTAGATATTTAAGTATATTAATTATATTTATATAAAAATTTAAAATATTAAAATAAAGTTAGAGAACTAGATACTTTCTAATATTATTTTTATAATAATTAATTATATAAGTTTATTAAACAGCAGCTATATTTAAATAATCTATATTAATTTCTAGCTTTTATTATATTATAAAAAATTAATTTTTGAAACTAATAATTTTACTATTATTAAATAAAGATAAATTAAAGATTTTTATTAATTTTTTAGATTTAAAAGTCTTAGCTGCTTAGTTATTTTAATTATTAAATTAAAAAAACTAAATAATATATAGATTATATTTATATATTATTTTATTATAATTATTATTAAGCTTGTCCCGCTGGCAGATAGTCTTATATATTTTTATTTTTACTTTTTTTATAATACAGAGAATTATATTAAAGATTTTATCAGGATTCTTTATATATAATTTATAAAACTAATTATAAATAATATCTTTTTTATTATTAGGCTCTTTTCTCAGTAAAATTATTAAATATTATTAAAGATTTACAGCACTCAGTACTGATTTAATATAATTTTTTCTAATTATTATAAGTATTTTTATTAATTATTTTAGTTTAAGTCTTGGTCAGATTATTTTGTCTTAATTATATTTAATATTATTAAATATATATAAGAAATAATACCAGCTGCTGAGCTAGATAACTGGTAATATATAATATTAATTTAAAAAATAAAAAATAAAATAATACTAGAAATTATATAAAAACTAATTAAATAATTAAATTTAATATTATTTAACAAGAATTTCTAATATAAAAAAAGAAAGAAAGAAGCTCAGGAAGAATATATAATTATATAAAAATAAATAAGCTATATAAGACAGGTAAACAAAGCAAACAAAACAGAAGTCACATGATCCTGAGATGTCACTCGCCGTCACAATTATTATACCTGTCTTGTCTATTATAGTCAGAATAAAAAAGATTTATTTAAATAAAATATATATTTAATATATAGAAAGTGTCTTGAAATTAGTTATTTTTAGTATAGAAACTACTTCTTAGCATTGATAATTTTTTAATAATATTCTGGAAAAAATTTAAATCTATTTATTAGCTATGATAGTGTCCATTATATTTAAAATTCTATATTAATTAAAATATATTAAATTATTACTGTGTTACTCTTTCTTAATTAAATTATTCTTATAATATTTATTTCTTATATTATATTTACTCTTAGTAAGTAATATAATTCTGATCAGATTATTTAAATATTTAATTAAGATTTAATATTTATTATTATAATCTTATGATCTCAGCATTCTGCTCTTTAACTTATTAATAATAAATATATTATCTTTTATACTCTCTTTTTTTTATATTTATCTTATTAGTCTTATATATATCTGAGATATTATACTTATTTAATACACAGTAGAAAGATCTATATTTAAATTTTATTATAATATTAGGCAGTTTCTTAATAATATATTTAAATTAAAAAAAATTAATAAGACTGATATTTATTATTATATGAATTTTCTAATATCAGTTCTTATTTAAAATAGATATAATTCTAGATATCTTACTAATATTTATTATATATAATTAATTTATAAGATAAGTTACTGGATCAGATATACCAAGATCAGATATTTTATTTATCTGGTTATATTATTATATATAATATAGTAGAATCATAGTTTATTTATAGATTTTTATTATTTAAGAACTATACAGATAAAGAGTATTATTATTTTAGATATTAAATTTAATTAAATTATTTTTTCTAGTATTATCGCCTGACTCATCACAGATTTTTCTAGTATTAGAAAGACTAGAAATGGCTTTATAAGAATCTATAATATTTATTATTTCTTTTTTAGTATATAAAATATAATATTATTACTAATAATTATTTTATTCTTAAGAATTATAATTATAAAAATTTAAATTTAATAAGTTTAATAAGAGGATATCTGACAGGTTAGCTTTTAATATATAATATAATAATTAAAGATTAGGTCAAGAAAGTTCTAACTTTTTATAAAATATTTAGTTAATACTTGATAGTAAATACTCTCTTTTTAGAAAAAATAATTAAATATATAATAAAAAATAAAATAACATGTCTTCATAATCATGAGATATAAATTTAATATTTATAAGAAGATTATTAATTAAGATAATTTCTTTTATTTAGACTTGTTAAAGATATAGATAAGATAATATTTTTTTATTATATTAATAGTTATATATAGTAGTTATAAAGAAGAGAAATACTAGTATTATATTTATAGTAAAGATGCTCAACAGTGCTTGCAGTAAAGATATTTATAATAAAAATACTTAATTTTATTATTACTATTAATTTTATAGTTCTTAAGAACAGTAAACTTAGTCTTTTTAAAAATAATATAAATCTTCTTTTTATATTTCTTATTATTACCACGTAGACGTAACACCAGGTAGAGAATAAACTTTATTTAGAAAATAAACTCTGTCTGGATATTATACTTTATCTAGATATTATAATCTGAAAAAGTATAGCTATTCTTAAACTTAGATATTATTAGTTAGAAAAAATATTTTTTTTATATATTCTACAGACTGCAGTTTATTATACAGAGAAAATAAAGATATTTTAAAAAATATTAAAATATACTACTAAGTTGCTCCGGTCTGGAGTAACTGATCTAAATTTATATAATAAATATAAAAAAGAATTCTTTTTAAAGTAGAAGTAGATAATTAGTTATATCTTATCTAGAGCTATCTAATAAAAGATAGTAGAAGTATCTTCATTACCTCCCAATCAGGAAGGTACACTGCACACACCACCGTGGCGTACCCTCACAGCTTACGCAAGAGAGTCAATAGTTGACGCCACGAGAGGAAACGTGGCGCTGTGGGGAGCCAGTTGGATTATGTGTTTGTTTCCCACAGGAGGGGCGTGTTGATATCTCGTTCTTGCTGAGGAGAGCTTGTGGGGGTGAGGGAGAAAGGGCCTTTGTTCTTGTTGAGCGGTGGGATGGATGGGTGTGTCTTGCTCGTGTCTCCACTGGGTGTTGGATGGTGCTGTGGGTTGCTGTGGATGTTGGGTTCTATTAGATAGGTGTGATGCTTTGTGGAGGGGATCGTGGAGTTGTGGTGGATTTGTGGTGGATGTGCTGTGGAACTATATACTAATGCTTTGGGTGAGCTGTTTGCCTGGGGATGAGGTGTGGGTTCACTGGGTTGGTTACTGAGTAGAAAATACTAGGATATGTTATCGCTATAGATTACTAGATTAACCTAGGTGCGTGGTTGTATTTATGATAGTACTCAAAGTGATGATATCTGTTGCAATATCACCCATTCCCATCTACCATAAACAGTATGATGGATTTCATTGATGATATCCCCTTCCACACCTCATCCCACACCCCGTTGACACCCAGAGAAGGCCAAGCACATCCAACAGTACCGATTTGTAAGGCTGAATGCCAACAATTCTAGCCGCGTCAATTCCACGCATCTGCCAACCCAACAGCGTAACAGAACCGAGGATCATCCCCAGACCAACATCAGCAATGATCATCCTCCGCACTCTCCACACCCCACGAATTTCTCCACACTCGTATCTAGGGGTCACCGAGGTCATATTCTCAATCCTCGTGGGATTTGAAATCAGGCCAAGAAGCAACCGTGAAACTCAACAATGAATTACCTCAAATCTCCCGCAGGGACCGTTGAAAGTCCCTGAAACAAACTCCCCCGCATTTTCTTCCCCATGTTGATTCTCCGGTTCACAAAAGCATATTGTTAAATGTTACTCCGGCCCAGGGTTCCTGTCATTGTTCCTTAAAAATAATACGAGCAGGGATAAATTATCTCAAAACTTACTTTTGTCCATCATAGCTGCCAAGTTGAAAGTCAGTATGATGTCTATATTGCATGTGCAAATGATCCTTATCTCCGAGAGTGGAGTCGGGGATAACGCGGACGAACCCGACCAGAACGGTTAAGCGCGAAAAGCTACTCTGAGCACTCAGCAGGCAGCAGAGATGCAACCCACGCAAGAGCTATGACGATCTTGGTGTATTAGGAGAGCAGAGCTGAAGCTTATAGAACAGCTGGAAGATGTTTCTCCTTGATCTTCTCCAGACGATACTCCTCTTCAAGGTTCCATTGCTGAGCCAATTCGCGCCACCCCGTCGGAACCCCACCTCTGGCGGCGCATTCGATTGCTCGGCCGACGCTATTAAGTCATTGCTGCCGGAGGGGTCGAAGGTCCTTTATGCTTCTCATTATGATGCTGATGATAGCTTCACTCCTCCGCTTGAGCACAATTCTGGCGCCTTTAGGATCTCGTCGTATGTGCTGCCCAGGAGCGCTTGTATCTTTCAGGCGAATTTGACACTGCCTGGGGAGACGGAACATAGTGTGGGGGTGATGTTGCCGGATGATTGGAACGGGAGGTTCTTGTATGTATTTGTTGGATTGTTTGGTAGGTGCATTGTGTGCTAAGGTGTGTACAGGACTGCGGGAAATGGGGGGTTTTCGGGAAGTGTTAGTTGGGGATCTATTGTATGTTCAGTCCTCTTCTTTCACATGAGACAATGAAGAGACGCTTATAACGATGATCTGGATAGATTGACGCCTCTTGGTATGGGTTCGCTGCTGTATCGACGAATACAGGCCACGAGAGCTCTGGCGCCGAATGGGCTTACCATAACCAAGAAGCTCTCGCCAACTGGGGCTACAGGGCCATGCACGATGCAGTTGTCAATGGCAAGTCTGTGACGGAGCAGTATTATGGAAAGAAGATTGCCTACAGTTACTACCGCGGCTGCTCCGCGGGTGGAAAGCAGGGTCTCAAGGAAGTTGAGATGTTCCCCGACGATTTCGACGGAGTGATTGCTGGAGCTCCCGCCTGGTGGACAACCCATCTGCAACTCTGGAACATGATTGTCGGTATTTGGAACTCACCAGCAGACTCCCAACATCATCTGTCGAACGAACATATTGATCTTTTGGCCCACGAGGTTATTCGCCAATGTGATCCCCAGGACGGGGTGGAAGACAATATCGTCATGAATCCGGATGCGTGTATCTTCCATCCAGAAGCTCTTCTGTGTGCGGATGACGCTGAAGATCCCTCCACTTGCCTGAACACAGAGCAGATCAAGACGGTCTACAAGCTCCACAACGACTGGGTAGAAGCAAACCACACATTCGTTTTCCCACATCTCACTCTGAGCAGCGAATGGAAGTGGAGCGGCTTGGTTTCTTCTCCATCGAGACTGGGTACTGACTACGTCAAATGGATGCTTCAGCTGGGCGATGATTGGAGATGGGAGGATTGGGACCCCGAATTGATCGAGTTATCAGATGAGCTGAACCCTGGAAACGCCACGACCGATGACTACGACCTCTCCCCTTTCTATAACAAGGGAGGCAAGGTTCTCCATTATCACGGCTGGTCAGACTGGTCTATCGCTGCAGGTTCGAGCATATATTTCTATGACCAGGTTGTCAATGCTTTACGTCCAAAGGGGATAAACCTGGACGATTTCTATCGCTTCTATCTGATTCCCGGAATGGGGTAAGACTATCGCCATACTTGAGCCATATGCCAACATTTGCTGACATACATAGTCACTGCGGAGGCACATCAGATTTGATGAATGCCCCTTGGGTCATTGCAGGCGATGGCCAGTCTTCAAGCCTTGGGAGGGATGGAAACGTCCACAGCGTACCTGGGCACGAGGATGCAAAACACGATGTAGTCCTTGCCATGATGGACTGGGTGGAAAATGGAACTAGTCCAAATGAGTTGATTGCGACAAAGTTCGTGAATGACAAGAATCCGGAAGAGGGTGTATATCGTCAGCGTCCATTGTGTGTGTATCCTGCCGAGGCTCAATACAAAGGCTCGGGGAATATTGACGCTGCGGAAAATTGGGAGTGCAGAGAGCTGTAATGGCACTGACACTGGGGACAACTTTGTGTAGATGATGCTTTCGCTCAACGGAAGACATTTATGTATATAAACTCCAAATAAATTGTTGAAATGACCCGACCTTAAATTTGAGAAGCTTTTTAGAAAATGGGCCAGCTCGTTGGTGGAGAAACTGATCAACAGCGGCCCCTCCGTTTATCGGTTATCGGACTTTCTGTTATACTGCGAGCCCCTCCGTCCGCCAGAGTCCCCGCACTCACCAATTCAACTTTCTTCATCTTTCTTTCACCTTCCCATAGACACTTTTTTTTTGCTAGACAAGCGCGCCATCAGCATACACCACAATGTCCAACACCGTTGCAGCTGCCGAGGAAGAAGGCGTGTACACGCCTTACGACCAATTCTTCCTCTTCGGTGACTCCATTACCGAGTATTCCAATGCTCAGGACATGGGATTCGGGTTTTCCCCAGCGTTGCAGAATGGTAGGCAATCAATTCCCACTCCCCTCTTTCTACAGACAGATATTGATACCTTGTAGCCTACGCCCGCCGCCTGGACGTGGTGAACCGTGGACTAGCGTATGCTCCTCAATAATAGGATTGAAGCAACAAATAAACAACAACAACCACTGACTCTTCCACAGCGGATACAACACCCTCCATGCCCTCAAAGCCTTCCCCAAGTGCTTCCCTTCACCAGAGCGCGCCAACGTCCGACTCATGGTACTCACCCCCCAGCACACGCCCTCCCCATAACCCTCATAACTAACAAACAAATCCAGACCATCTGGCTCGGCGCCAACGACGCCAGTCTCCCCGGCTTCGAGCAGCACGTCCCCATTGAGACCTACAAGCAAAACCTCAGAAACATCATCCAGCACCCCCTCACAAAGGCCCAGAATCCCCGCATCATGATCATTACTCCTCCTCCCATCAACGAGTACCAATTGGCCGGGTTCGACGCTATGAAGGGGAACCCCCATCCGACTCGGACTAACGCGCACACCAGGACGTACGGTCAGGCTGCGCGCGAAGTTGCTGCAGAGTTTGGTCTACCCGTTGCGGATGTCTGGAGCGCGTTCATGTCGTCTGTTGGGTGGAAGGAGGGTCAGCCGCTGGTTGGGTCGAGGGATTTGCCTGAGAATGCCAGATTTGCTAGTCTGTTTACGGATGGCTTGCATTTGGCTGCGAATGGATATCGCATTGTGTTTGAGGAGGTTATGAAGACTATTCAGGAGAGCTGGCCCGATCAGGTGCCGGAGAACCTTCCTTATGTGTTCCCTCCTTGGGCGTTGGCGCCGAAATAGGGGCTCGGCTTGAAACATTGGAGATGCTTGTGCTAGTGCTACTAGTGGGAGTACCGTCTCATCGGCTGTGTGGTATACTGCTTCGAATGGTGGATAATATATAGAGAACTGATCATCTAGAATAAATACTAAGAGAACCGATGCACAAGCGTGGAATACAATAGAACACAGTACCGTTTCAGCCAGCTGAGAACATCGTGAATGTGGATTTTCAAATCAGAAGCAAAGGACCAGTCGATTCCACTGTCTTTGGCTCCATTGACAAAGAATGAATAGTAGCAAAATAAGGCCGTGGATGAAAGCGGTCTAGATCCAGTGCATGGCGGCCGCTGGTTGGCTGGCGGGCCATGGATTGCTATCCCCTCATGAAATCCGGTCCGACGGCAACTTCCTGCCTTGCAACTTCTCTTCCCCCCATTCTGTGTTCTTCCTCTCCACTGTGCCTCTCTGCTATCTACTCGACCATTTCTCCGCTCCACCCTCCTCACGACCAAGAAAAGTGTTTCTGCCTCTGCCTCTGCCTCTGCCTCTCTTTTAGCGACATTCTTTTTCTTCGACTCCTTCCTTCGCAAAGAACATCCCCAGAAATCCTCCGCCCATTCCTCGCCTCCCTCGATCCCCTTCACGAAAGCCGACCATCGCACGAACGACGTTATATTGTCTCTAGTACAGCTCTCCCACAAAATATCTCCATCTACGGCTCTTTATAATCAACTCGTTGAACCTTGGAACAACTCCGCTGTCGCCTGGCTCTATCCCGCATTCCCACCATCTTGGGCCAACTTCCGTCCGCATATACCATAAACGCTTTCCGCTTCCTTCCCGCCGCCGTCGTTTGTGTGGCACGATCGTTCGAGTCTTCTTACCACAGTACTTCCGCCTCTAGGTTTTTTATATGTCTTTGATCAGATCCGCGGATACTCGTTCTTAGCAAACCGGGTGGACGGCCGTTTGGCCGTCACACAGCACGAGGGAGGAGGATTTGAGGACAAAGCGGGCTATCAGAAGCAGCTGGACTAGGATAGCAGTTATTGCGGAGAAGTGAATAGTATCGATTGGTCAACGGATTTGGTCGGTCTGGTCTGGTAGACACCTTTCAGCCTTCTCTTTCGATTGACGTTCTCGTGTGTTGCCACCATCCAGCGTCTCGTGTTACTTCCGTCTGGATATGGATGCCCAGTATCCCTTTGCCTCCCGCGACGATATCTGGCGCGTTTTCGAAGAGCTGAAGGAGCTCCACGCCACACAGTTCGAACAGGCGGAGCGTATCGCGAGACTGGAACGACGGAGGGACGAGGATGCAAAGCTGAGGAGTGTTTGGGGTCCTTTGTCGCCGTTTCCTAGCTCCGTTGGGGGCACAATCCCCACAGGTGTGTGATAGTTTCTTCTTCTGGATCTTCGCAAGCATGTGGTTCGAGCATGGCTGATGCGCTGTCTTCTGTAGAGCCGGTCTTCCATACCCCCGCGGACGCTTTCAAGGGCTTCGATCAGGGACACCATCACGGGGCCGTCTCTACAATGGGTCTCGACAACGAAGAGGAGCCACGACGAGGCACTTCCAGGGCAAACAGTGTGAGGTTTGATGAAAGTGCCATCCATGGGTACTACGGGCAGGCCAATCGATCTAGCAGTGAGCTGCCACTCCGCACCGGCAGCGGTCTCGGGAGCCATCCCCTGACAGAGCGGTCCTTGTCTCATCGGTCAGATGGAAGGCAAAGCTCTTCCGGACACTCCCACCACTCTGCTCGTACCAACAGCCTGGGCCTTGAGACAACTAGCAGGATGATGAGCTCTGTCGGTGGTTCGCCGCTCATTCCTCCGCCTGGACTGTTCCTCCTGGGCCCTGTGCCATGCATCATTCGGTGCTGGCTGACTACAACCTTCTCCAATGACTCTCTCTTGTATGCTGCTGTCTGCTCGGGCTCGTATAGTTCGTCACTAGGATACCCGATGGTCCAGACACTCGGGTTGGCGGATCAAGTTGTGTACGAGGGGGATGTGCAGTACATCAAGCTCCCAATTTACCTACCTGAGGCTAGTGTGCACCAAGCCTCTTCGCGGTCCAGCAGCCCCGAACCTCAGGTGCCTACCTTGACCGTTCGGTTTCTAGTTCGCGAGGTTGAGCCGGGCGATACTGCGATCCAGATTGTCTTGGGAAGCGATGTCCTCCGGTCCCACAACGCTGATGTGCTCTTTTCACAAGACAAGATCATCATGGTCGATGATGAGAGGAACAAGGTATCCATTCCCTTGGTGCGCCCCGAAGATGATTCGGTCTTCAAGTCCTTGTCCACGATGTCCGATGCCACCCGCATCGGCCGGAAGGCTCGTTCTGTCCACGAGGACATCCAAGCGGATACAAACGGCCATGCAACGTTTGGCGTGATTGGACGTCCTCCCAGCCTCTCTCGCCGGGGTACCTCCACGTCTGCCTCCGCAAGGGAGTCTCTTGAGGGCTCCGAGGAGAGTCGAAAGGCTCGCCCGGAGACCCAAGAGCTGCCAACAGACACTGATACCCAAAAGGAGCCAAAGTCCGCCACAGAAGTTGACGCTCAGGCGAGTGGCCCAGCACGGGTGGAGGCAGCCGGAGTCTGGGGCTCGTGGAAACGCGAATCCAAGCCAGACCCGAACGCTTCTGCTACGGGCAAGGCCACCCGTGGCCGTACGATGAAAGTACTGCGGCCCACGAAATCTTCTACACGGGTGCCTACCGCCACGACCGTTCCTAGTAGTTCTGGTACCGACTATGCGGCGACCTCAGGGCCATCCCAGCCCGCGTCGACCCGAGCGTCGCCTGACGGGACACGCACGAGCAAGCAGTGGCCCAGTAATCCAGTTGGCGGGGCGTCTGCATTTGGCTGGCTCAATACCACGCAGCCACCGGGTCGGACAGCAATGACCCCTAAATGAAACAAATTAGGGAGTTACTTGTATATCTCTTCCATGACTTGAGACAGTCAGTCTAATTGACGTACCGCATACTGCATACCTCCCTCGTAGCATACACACACTATATAATAAACCCACTACTTAAATCTTAGCCAACCCCTCCACCGCACCCCTCGTCTCCTCCTTCATCTCCCTAACCAACCCACTCACCCCCCTAAACCCCTCATGTCCAGCATCCCCCAACATCTCAAACAACAAACTCTCGCTCGTCGTCACTATCGCCCCCGCATCCCTCATCCTCGCCACCGCAACCCCCCTCTCCTCCTTATTCACACTACTCACCCCATCCAAGCACACATACACCCGATGTCCTCTGCGCAGTAGATCCATCGTCGTCTGCAACACACAGATATGCGTCTCAATCCCCACGATGATCACATCCAATGCCTTTTCTCCTTTCTCGGGGGAGGGCAGCACCGCTTCCATCTCGGGGGTTATCATTGAAAAGAGGGTTTTGTCCAGGTCGGCAAGTACCAGTGGGTTCGAGGTTAGGTGGGTGGTGAGTTCGGGCACTGTAGGGCCGAGTTTGCTTCGCGATTGGGTCGTGATGTAGATGGGGATGTTGAGGGGGGTGCTGGCGCGGAGGAGTTTGGTTGTTGTGCTTATACTATTTCATGTGTTTGTTGGCTTTTGGGGATGGTTATGGTTTGGGGCAATGGGGAGGGGAGAGAGGGGAGGGGGTAGGCGTACACTTTGGGGAATTCGTAGATTGCGTGTCGGAATTTCTCTTGGAGGTCGCAGATACTGGTTTTGGTGGTGTTAGGGGGTTGTTTGGGGGAGTGGAATGGGGAAGGTGGAAGGGCGTACAAGAGGGCTGGGTTGTCTGGTTCGGGGGTTAGTTAGTTGGATTGCTTAGTGGTGAAAGGGGGTGGGGTGGTGGACGTACTGATGCGGGTTACGCGGGATAGGGAGGCCATTTTGATTGCTTTGTTTGGAGGCGTTCAATGGGTTTGGAATTGTTGGTTGTAGGTTTGAAGGAGAGAAGTAGTTGTGATGAGATGAGAATAGAGGAGATAGGAAAAGCGGGGAAGACACCGAGAATTGGAGGTCAGGTGCGGGGAAGTTGGTGCCTGGGTTATCAGGCAGGATTTTATTTATACAGCTTATTCTAAGTATTAAGTGGTGGCAACTGCTTTTGATTATCCAAGTCTATAAATCAGTTCTAATTTTTATCCAAATTATCCCAATTACAGCTGTATTTCTTCCACCTTTGCCCGTCCCGCGAACCAGCTGTGGTCTCCTTTCAGAGCTGCCTGGCGGATGGCATGCAGCTCGTCCAGGAACGCCGGTACGAAGCTGCCCGGTCCCTTTACGGTGTCCTTGGATGCCGCGTTCTCGGCGGCAATCTCGTACATCAAGATACCGGAAAGCACGGCGAGGAACTTGTCCTTGGAGTGCGTGGTCAAGAAGGCACCCGAGACGGTGCCTACGGCACAGCCGGTCTGGATTTCTTTGTTAGCATACTGTCTGTAATTGGTCGTGGGGACTTACGCCTGTCACTTGGCCAAGAAGCTCATGGCCATTGGAGACCGCGACGACGCGCTCTCCGTCGCTGAGGTAGTCGGTGGCGCCGGTGAGGAGGACGATGTTGTCTGCTATGGTTAGTTACGTTCTGTCAATTCGTGTAATGAACTCACGCTCTCTCCTGGCGAGATCACGCGCCAATTGGGCCTTTTTGTGGCTGTCAAGGTTGCTGGGACCGCTGTCGACACCACGCTGCATGACGCCACTGCTGCCATACACCTGACGGATCTCGCCTTCGTTGCCCTTGATGAGGTCAAAGTACCCGCCGGACATGAGCTGGGTAACAGCTCCACGGCGGATGCTGGTGGCTGCGGCGCCAACGGGGTCGTACACCACGGGGTTGCCGCGCACGTTGTATGCTTTCAGGGCTTTCAGGTAGTTGGGGATGCTCTCGCTCGTGAGGGTGCCCATGTTGATGACCAGGGCACCGTCGAACTGGCAGAGATCGACGGCTTCGTCTCCGTAGGGTGACATGATTGGTGACGCGCCCCTAGATATCGTTGGCAAAGGTCATTGGTTGCATGGGAGCTGTAGGGGAGAAATACATGGATAGTGCGATGTTGGCAACAAAGTTGGCCACAACATAGTTGATCATGTTGTGTACCAGGGGGTGGCCCTTGACGACTTCCTGGA